CATCTTACGCCCTAATTTGCAGCACGTAATTTGCAAACTTTACAGATTCAAAAGGTTGGTACAGCAATCATATATTTGATAATTCAAATGAAATAATAATTTATGTAGGCAATTCTATTTAGTTCCTGTAAAATCACATATCCTAATTAGAACAAAGGGAAATGCTGTGTGCATTTAACTGTAAAAGTTTAAAAGGTGATTTGATGAATTGCAATAGAATCCTCATGTTTACATTTTTCTTCCTGTGCAAAAACAACTGTTGGTAACTTGGTTTAAAATTCAGATTTTTGTCAACAAGGATAATCAAATACGTTGAGAATATGTATAGCCGTGATGAAATAGCACTTACTATATATAATTCATGCTAAATCAAAAAAAAAAAAAAAACAGACATACAGTTTTGCATTGTTGGTTTGATGTAATGAAATTTAATGTGCTTACATTTTTGCATTTTTGGCCGACAGCAGGATCGCGTTATCTCATCTCCCGTCACTACTGCGCAAAATTTGCTTGCAAATTATGTCAGAGGCTCTTTGAATCATTTGATGATTGGTTGTCACACCAGCATCAGGTCAGAATTTCCTGAGAGCAAGATTAAGCGAAGGACTTCACAGGTATCACCGAGCCGCGACTGGTGCATCGGAAGGAATATTTCAAGGGGACAAACGGTGTGCATCGTGATCCTCCACCTTGTCCTTTAGAGAAGTCCTGCTTCAGCTGAAAGGGACTACATTCACATGTAATGTATTACCTTTCATATTAGGAGGAAAGTGTGGTATTTTCTGCCAATTACCCACAAAATAACGTAACGCTATGAGATGAGTGATACACAAACAGCAGAAGCGTCCAGTGAGCTTATTTTACCTCAGAAGTCGACTCTGCTCTATCCTTGGAGTCCTCAGAGGAAGAGATTAATATTATCAGTGTGTACACTAAGCTCGTTTTCCCTCTTCACTTTTGCTTTAAAAGGACAGAGAACATTAATCGCTCTGCGGCCCATTAAGTTCTGCTGAAAAATCCAACACACCTGTTTAAATATTTTGTGAATTCCCAGCTCCTCAGTGTGCCGCTACTTGTTCTGAATATTAAGAAATAAGATCTTTATTGCACACAAATACGTCTCATTGCTGTGTGCTTTTGGAATTTCATGCTATTCAGTTTCTCTGAGTCTTATTCTCTTAAGGTTGATTTTTACGAATGACTTTAATGCCCTTTTAGAGCATGGAAGCTGAGAAGTGTAATGTAGTTTTCTTTTCTGATGACTCCTCTGCTGCAGTAGAAAAGTACATTGAAAATTTCAGGAGTATTGATTACTAATGCATTAAACTTGATGCCTTTTTGCTTCTCATACATGTTTTTATTTTTGTTGCTTTTTTTGATTTCTACTCGTGTGTAAAACATCTGTTATCTCTCTTTAACCCCCCTAGAAGCTCTTCTAACTTTTAACCTTACCGTTCATTCTTCCTCCAATCACAGTGTTGCTGATGATGGTTTCCAGTATTGATATATTTCCCTCAGGCAGTGACCACAAGAGTGCTGAGTCATCTTGGATGATTGAATCCAGCTTGGCTAATCTAATTCTCTTGTGGCTTCGAAGAACTGAACCGTGCAGATTAGCGTAACTAGCTCATCTTGGGTCACACAATTGATCTTGGATTTTTTTTTAAGCGACACGCAGTCCCCAGCACATGATGACAGTCCCCATTTCTGCAGATATTATAGCTTTATTTCTGTGCACTGAGAGAAGCTGGTGATGTGAAATCCATTTTTATGTAGAGACTCTGATATAAACTATTTTAATTAAGCATTACTGAACCAGTAGATTTCTTTAAAGGGATCAAATATTAATGTTTAATGTGGTTAAATCAGGAATGCCAGTATATTGATCCATATATTAATTTGAGTGATTGTTACTGTTGTCCACAGCAGCTTTATACTGCATAAAAAGTTTCTCTTACTTGGTCCCCGCAGCATTTTGAAGGCAGCGTGACACACGTCCATAAATCTGCAGCATTGCCACGCCAGAGGGTAGTGCTATTTTGCACAGCAATCCACCGTGCTTACATTGATTAAATCGTATGCAGTGGCACACGGTAGCTGCAAAAAACGTTATATAATTCTGCACACATCAGACAATGCAGTTTTAGTTTTACGCCAGATGTAGCAGGATTCAAACCGCATACACAAAGGCTCAAATGTGAAACGAGCCTTTGTTCTTTTTGGCCGGTGGTGGTTTTCACCTTGGAAATCTCCCATGGGTGCCATTTTTGCCTGGACTTTTTCTGATTGTTGAATTATGAACTCTGTTCTTAACAAAGGCAAGTGAGGCCTTCAGTTCTTTCAGCGATGTTCTTTTGTGACCTCCTGGATGAGTCATTGGTGTGCTCTTAGAGCTGGCCTCTCCTGGGATGGTTCACCACTGTTCCACGTTTCTCTATTTGTGGATAATGACACTCCCTGTGGTTTGATGGAGTCACAAAGCCTTAGATTTGGCTTTTCCACACTGATAGATGTCAGTGGCTTTAATATGATGCTTGTTTAGATCTTTTAGCCAACTTTAGTTTATCTGACAGATTTTGTTTAAGTGATTTGTTGATTCTACAGGTTTGATGGTTCTCACTCCGGATCTGTCTAATGAAATTGAACTAAGTGTTTCGAAAATTTTGGTAAATCGCAGTTATTTCAATCAGAAATTAACAAGGGATTTCTATATGTTTAATACTTTAACAACCAGGTTTGGTGGGCAGATCAAGCCTTAGTACAACATAAGAGAGTTATAATACAACTCCTCCCTTATCCAATTATCATCAAGCAGGGAAATTGGCTATAGAGACCAAACGTTTTGCAGCGGGCTATAAGCATACTGGAAAATTTAACATGGGAGTTCCTGGCGACTGACTTGCTTTTGGAGCAAGCATAAATTGGCAATTTCAGTTTTTCAGACTTTTCTTTAGTTTGTTTGTTGTCATCTTGTTTAAAACATGAGCAAAAGAAGAATTATTTATAATTATAACAATTAAAGAATTAATCCCGGCACATTGTTGTCAAATAAATGGCTTCATTAATATTTATAATAACTAAAAAAAAATTACTTTGGGGGGAAGAAGCCAGTTAAAATAAAACAAACTGCTAAATTTACACACGAGAACTTGTGTTTCTTTTCAGAATAAGCTATGCTTTTGAAACTCTGTCCCAACCTATCGAGCAGCAGGAGTTTCAGCAGGGGGCACGGCTCCAAGGCTGTGCAGTACAGAACCCAGCAGACAAGCTGCACAGAGAGATCCTATACACATAATGCACAAGGAAATAGATGCCCTTGTCAAGTATAGCAATGGGAAACTAGCACAACAGCAGCCTGTGGTGTTGGAGAGAGTAAATTATCAACACACCCAGTAACGGTGTTGTCTAGCAGTTGGATGAAAATAGTATAACTAGCTGTTATGTGTGTAGAATAATATCATGAGAGGCTTTGTCAGGTTTTAAAGATCACCTCATTTTCTTGATGTATTGCTCTGCCAACTAAAATGAGGCTTCGCCACTGCTTAATATGTATCAATAATTAAAATGATATCAGTCTTTGTGATAAATTTGTAATTAATTCATTCATTCATGCTGTCTACTACTTTTAAAGTCTACAGAGGATACAAAGTCTCTGTTTCCAACTCAGACTCGGGGTTGGTTTCATTTTCCAAAGGATAGAAATTAAGGTTAGAAGTACGACTGCTATCATTGTCAGGGAATGCAGACTTTTGGACGCTCGCGCAGTTACAGTTAGGAGATTTCCAAGATCCAAGGCTGCTGTTCTCTACTAATGCAACTGCCAGTCACAATATGCATTGTGTACATGTCTATTAATATATCAGTTATCAAAAGAGAGTTTTCTGAAGTGTTAAATATTATAATATAGCAATTTTATGCTTCCAATAATTAGCCTAGTAGAAAAAATTCTCAAGTTTTGGACCTTTCTTCTTCTTCTTCTTATTATTATTATTATTATTATTATTTACATTATTCTATTGTTTTCAGGTAGCAGGATGACAGTCAGGTGTGAGTGTGTGCCCTGGTTTATGTAAAGATCAGGGATCAGCCCAGTGTCTGAGCTTCACAACATTGTTTTAGGAAGTGAATCATGAACAAAGAAGAATCTCCATGGACCTCAAAAAAGGCTTATTGATGTTCAGCAGCAGTCAAACAGACAGACTACAAATGAAGGAAATGAAGAACATTGCTTCAGCCCCTTGGAGTGTCCAGTGTTCCCTCACAGAGCACGGTGTCTAATAGTGTGAAAGGTCACATGGGAACCCAGGATAACGTCTAAGCAGCTTCTCACATTGTGTACATGTTCATGAATGAGAAGTTTACCAACACTAAAGGATGAATCAGAAGGCTGTTTGAACCGGGAGCTTATCCCATCTGTAAAACGTGGTGGCCGCATTATGACTGTTTGAGACGGTTATAATTAATCTGCACCAGGGCGGGTCATCATCGATAGAATATTACTGCAAATTTATAAAGAATGAAGCAACATCTGTTCATGAATTGAACATTAAGAGAAAGTGGGTGATGCTGAATTTAAAAAAAGCATCAGCATACAAGTTGTTTTACCAAAAAATGATCAAAGAAGCAAGATGATGTTTTGGAAAGCCCGAGTCAAAGTCCTGACCTTCTTCCAGCAGCCTGAAACAAGCAATTCATGTGATGAAACTAACAAACATCCCAGAGCTGAATGTGTTCTGATAATTCAAGTGTACAAGTCCTCCAAGCTGGTGTGTAGGACTGTTCAACAGTTTTCCTACATTTTTAAGGTTTGCATACATTTGCTTCTTGCACAGTAATAGAAATACTACTCGGCTAACAAACCACTGAGTTTTTTCATATATATGCTTTTAGGTTTTGTGTGTAATTGTAATATTTAATTCAAATTTAAAGAAGTCACAGACCATCAAGCACTAATGTACATACCCTTTATTAATATGACAGGGTTTTGTTGTGTGTGTTAGGTGCTGGGCAGTGCTGGAAATTGTCCCGCAGACATCATTCCCAGAGAGGAGGATGACACCGGAAACAACAACCAGGCCTGACTACAGCAGCCCCTCTGGTCCTCCATCCTCAGTCTCCTCACAGAAATACTCTAACATCTCGCTAGAAGAGTGAGTCTGTACTTAAAGTGCTTACCTCTCCTGTTCTGTCTTTCCATCTTTAGCCACAAGCCTGACACTTATGGTTGTATCCTTTGAATAAATATGTGCTAATATGTAAAGCAGGGTTTCAAATCTGTCCTAAACAGCTGTTTGGAAGTTTCTTTATCAAGAAAAAGCTCTTTGCTCACTGTTATCTGCATGTTCATGTGTAAACCTATTGCTCGGGTTTTGCAAAATTCGTCTGCTCACTGCAGAACCACTAGATCACTTGTTTCAAATACAGGCCAATCGTTTAGTATTTACTTTAGAAACAGCAGGTGTTGGACACTCAGTCGAGGTTCAGTTTGCCCGAGTGTTGTTTCTTCAGCGGGTGTCGTTCTCGCTGTCATAAAATCTCTTTTTTGTGTGTTGGATACTGGAATGAAACAAAGACACAAATTTTCTATAAAAATCCAAAGGAAGTGATGTCCATGCTTGTGCCTTGCCTCAGTGCATCTTTGATTTCCATCTTGCTAATATTAGCTTAGAAAAAGGGCTCTCATCAGGATGCAAGGAACGCTCAGATTTCCCACTCATGTTGGCTTGAATATTGATGGTTGATTCATAGACCTTGAGAAACAATAGCTGAGAAAGAGTTAAGAGTAGTTAGAAATAGATATGAACAGGGGTTAAAGTGGGCCATGGGATGGTTTTGTTCTCACCTTCACTTAATAAGCAATTATAACAATGTGTGATAACTGTGCTGTCAGAAATCACAAAAGATTTAAGACAGGATAGCAGAAGAAGATAAGAGATCACGTTCAAAGGTAGCAAGTGGCATCCGATCAGCTGGTAATTTAAAGCTTACCTATGTAACGTCCTGATTTATGTTGGATTTTTTCATTCAGAGTGTGGATCTGGACAGGTGTTGCTGAAGTTAATTCAAACTTGGAAGTGATTATGAAGGTTATACAGACAGCAGGTGCAGGCTTAACTGGGCAGTTTGCAGTACTGTGGTACAGCTCATAGTGATGAACTGCACTCCAGCCACAGTTCAAATGCTTGTTAATGAGCTAATAACATGGCAGAAACCTAATGCGTTTAGAATACCAGCAGAAGACCACACTTGGTGGCACTCTATCAGCTGACAACGGCAAACTGAGCTTGCAGTTCACACAGGCTCACCATAATTGGACAACAGAAGGTTGGAAAAATGGTGTCTGGTCTGATTAGTCTTGATTTTGCTTCAGCATTCAGATAGAGGGGTCAGAATTTGGTGTAAACAACATGAAAGCATGGATCCATCCTGCTTTGTATCGACAGTTTGGGCTGGTGGTGGAGGAGGATATTTTCTATGCAATGCTAATACTAACCGAGCATCGTGTAAACGCAACAGTCAGATTATTGTTGCTTATCATGTCCATCCCTTTGTGACCACAGTGTTTTTCACCAGCAAAGATGAAGGCGAAGTATAACTTTGAAGGAAAGACGCTTTTAAAAATATGATTCTGAACGCAGCTACAAAGGCTCACGGAACATCTGCCTGTATATTGTAGAATGTTGGTGGCTAAAGCAAACCTCCAAACCAGCACCGGTCAGGTGGTCATAGCCTTCACATAAAGAGAGCAAATGTACCGGAGCTCACAATAATGATTATTCGAGTCAGTTAACCTTGAGGCATTCCTACTTGGAAGTTCTGGTCCCCACCTCCCAAATCCCACTCTAATCCCAGCATATGAAGCACTGAGAGACAGACTCAGTGGACAGTATGTAAATCTGGATATTGAAGGGCATAAATGCCACACCTTGAAAGGAGAGAACCAGAGGATAGCAGATATTCCAGATTAAATGTCCTGGGTTATCTGTAGTAGAATAACAGTGTCAAATAGCAGTCATATCAGGTCAGCCTTTAAATAATTTGGCAGGTATGAAGCTCTTTTTATGCTATTACATTATCCACACCCATTCTGAGATCATCAAAAAATGGCACCAGATTTCCATTTCTGATACTAAGTTGGCTTTTTGTCATCAGCATTGTACAGTATGCCATTTCGTTGATGGCCAAGTTTGACAGTGATGATACATCAGCAGAGAATTGTGTGAATATGTGCAATTAGCAGCTCTTGTACTGAATATGTAATTATTTCAAAGCATCTTTGAATTGTAATCGCTCCCTGGCTCAGGCTTTCCCTTTCCATTAAATCCTCTTTCATTACACTGATTTGCAGAACAACCATTTTTCATTCTGATTGCTTGGCATGAATTTTTATTTCTGTGTTATTCTTTCCCCCTTACCCATCACTGCTCATTGTTCATCTCTTTAAAAAAAAAAAAAAGGAAAGGAAAAAAACAGAGCTCCTGTGACCCACATGGTTGAGACAACCTCAGTGACAGGTACCTGCACTTCTGCCTTTGCAGAGCTTTTCTATGACAACAGTGCCCCCTGGTGGCTTTCTATAAATCATCTATTAAGATCACATGGTTGTTTATACTGTTCCAAATCCCAGTCCTCTAACCTTGTTCCCCTCATCTGTTGAGTCGTTCAGAGCAGCTTTGTGCTTTTAAAGCCATGGTGGAATGAAGGATGGAATATAAACGATAAAAGTAAGGACAGAGGATTTTGCAGCCTTGTCGCTAGTCTCATGTGTCACTGGGATCAGAAACAACTGTTTGCTTTTAGACTGTTGCAATTAGACAAAAGACAATTTGGGAGTCTTGGAAAGTCAAAGTAAAGGTGATTGGAGAGCTTTTGTCCATCTGGAAAATGTTGGAAGGCTCACCTGAGGTGCTGGGCTGTTGATAAGTCTGCCTTTATCAAGTCCTTGGCTCGCTCATCAAAGGATGTGCATGCTGGAAGTGTCCATGCAAACACAGAAAGTTTCCATGCATCCTTCACCTTTAGTTGTGCTTTGTGCTTTATATATATTTATGTATATGAAAACGGCACCTTTAGTGACTTATGCTGTCGATACATCCCTTTGAATGTTCCAATGGCCTTGCTGTTGAGGAAGTTTCACCTTGATAATCGTGGGCTTTCTTGAAATTTGTTGACAACTGACTCCTCAGTTTAGATTTGTTGCCACTATGAAGTTAAAAAGAGCTTTCACAACTGACTTGCCCCTAAATTAACAAATAAAAACGGCATTATAAGCTATAAAATCCATACCTTTGTGTGAATAACCACTTCAATGTAATTCCTAATTGTTCTGAAATAGCTTTTTAACTGTTGCACATTTAAGAAAAACATACCTGGGTTAAGAATGATCAGCAAAAAGAAAGAAGCTTAAATGTGGCTGTTTGTTATGTATGCAAACTGCAAATGGATATTGGTCTTGATCTAATAGTAGAAATAAGATAAAAGGTGATTTCTTGTTTAAAGAAATGTTTACTCTGTGTAATGAATGAAAACACATCTGCTCATCTGTTCATAGTGGTGATTTACTTTCAGCTTGGTAAAAGTCTGTTTTAAACATCATTTGTTGGTTTGTCTCTGTCAGGACGACAACCTGATGATTGCTTCTTTTTCACCCAAAGTAGTGCCAAGGCCTAGCCTGACATCAGTTTCATGTATTTCCACTCAGAAAGTTTGGTGCCAATGCTAAAAAACTGGTAGCAATGTGATGCCACAAAGTTGGAACCACTGTTGTTAGTCGCTTTGGGCCATATTCATTGCATTAATATATTCATTTCCATTCATGCTTTAGAGCATGTCTTGTGTTGGGCTGTATATGGGATTTCTCACAGCAGTGGAACCTGCAGTCCGAGCCTTCAGCTGTGGGTTTCTTGAACAGGATGTCAGGGTTGGGTAGAGGGAGGCTTTAGAGCAGACTGTATTTAGACTCACTCAGTTGCAAATGGTGTAATAAGTAAAAATATGTACCCCATCTATGAATCTGTGGGGGAAAAAATAGTTGGTCAGAAAAAAATTTCAAATCAGAGTTTAAAATGGTTGTGACAGTTGCCTTTGGCAGCATAGTACACACTGCATCTTTCATACTTTACAAGGTCAGAACATGAAAACAAGCCCCACGCGCCTGTGAGTGCTGTAAATGGATCCCTGTTCATTGGGATGGATGTGCCTGAGTCTTGCATGCTTTCATTCAGATGAGTACAAGCGTCAGTTAAGCCAGCTTGGCACTTTGTGCAGAAAAAAAAGCTTCCCTCAGAGGTAAAACAAGCAGGTCAGCACCTTTCCTCAACCACCTGCCATCAAAGTACAGCAAGAGGTCATGGTCGTCTGCACCCATTTCCATGCATATTTCTATATAAAGCTGGAATTAATGCTCCAGGTTAATTAGAAAGTTGACTCCTAATTTGAGACCTGGACTACTCGTACCTCACTGAGGCTGCAGGAAGTTTAATTGTATTGTTTTACATTCTTGTTCGGGTTGAGGCAAACTAATACATCTCATCTAAATTTTAACATGTTTGAAATTGCTAAACGAACTATAAACAAAATAATAAATCTACCTATCTTAATAACTATCTATCTGAATTAATATCTGATTGGTGATTGGTTGGGCTAACAAAGGAGTCCAAACAATCATCAATCCAATCAACCAGAAATTTCACACAGCTGGTTATAAATTGGCCAAAGGACACGTTCAGCCTTTGCTCGTCACATCTGGCTTCAACAGTCAAGATGACGAAGTTGAAATTCTAATCTTGATACTTCAGTGGGTGAAATCAGAGGGCTACGACAATCTTTTATACCGTGTATGATTTATACTGTGGCGCCAGAAAAAGATGGGTGGTGAAAATGCCAACTTGGCTGCTCTGCAACTACATGAAACACAGACAAATTGTCCACTGGAGAAACAAAGGCTGCAGAAAGCTGCGGCCCTCACCCTGTTTCAAAACTGTCCTCATCCTTGACTTGGATCACAGACTGTGCATGTGTTGATGTCACAGTTTATTTAGAAATTGTCCCCCATTTGGTTGTGTGTGCTGCGACTCTGTGTATCTGAAAAGTGGAACATTTGTCATCAGTCCTGAAGCTTGTTTCCTTTCACAGAATTTGCTCAAAGTGA